AATTATATCATTTAATTTTACCATAACTAAATAAAATATCGTTTAATCCTGACCATTTCTAAAATAAATCAGACGACCATATTGGAAAAAACAGTTGAAAAATTCATTCGACATTTTTCTAAAATATTCGTACTAAGCCTGAGTTAGTTTAATATGGATTAATCAATATGAAGTAATGCTTATACTGGATTGGAAATTAATTTTTTGTTTTTCTGGAACACCTTTACTATGTCTGAATTAGCTGCATACAGCTTCATCGATATATTGAACTAATTAATTATACTAGAAGAGACGAATTGGAAATTTATTCTTTGTGTATTTTTCTAGAATATGCATACTAAGGCTAAACAGCTTGATAGAACTACTAAATAAAGGCGTAAAAGATTCTTATAAAAGAAAAATTTAAATAGTTTTGATTATTTTTTGAAGAAAAAAAGGTTTTATTCGATTACTATTTACTTTTTCTAAATTCAGTTATACATCTTTCAAAAATTACATTGAAAGAGCTCTAGGAAAAGAAAGAAAGGAAAATTTTCTTCAGAGAGCATTATATGAAAAATATGACAGCCATTAGTATCTCGCAAATGCTAACTGCGTACACAGGAATTGGTGGATTAGAATTGAATTAGATTGGTGGATCCTTTGTACTTTTCAAGAACATTTGTTCTAAGCCTAAATCATCTTAATCTTGCAAATCATACTAATATATAAAAAGAGAATTAGAAAAATATTTACATGGCTTATTTAAGAAAATTCGTTTTAAACTTAAACTAGCTAGTTAGAACTAGACTGGATTGAATTTAACTATTTTAATTAAATGGTTAAAAGCTTTAGTTTCGATTAAAGTAAAAAAAGAAAACTTCAAAAAACTTTTTGTTAAGAAAAGAATCTGCTCTTTTTTTCCGATTGCCATATCCTTTAATTTTCTTAATAAGCTACATCTTTTTTAAAAATTACATCGATACAGCTGCGGGAAAGGAGTGGGGGATAAGCTTCATCTTACTTGCGTTACTAACATATAGCACTCATGGGCTGCAATAGAGACACAACTAAAAAAACACGCGTTTTGGACTAAGAACAGGTGTAAATATGAAAATACACTTTCTTTCAGCTACAATACTAGCACAATTCATAATTCAACTTGAAGGTAATCTTCGTTTAAGCAAACTGAGGCATTTCTTATACATTTTCCTTAGCAATGAAAACCTTAAACCCACTTATCTCAAAGCTTGATTTTTTTGAGTTGTGCCGCTACTGCAGCCCATGAGCGATAAGTTTAAAAAAAAAATCATTCCACAGCTTCATGAAAATTCTATCTGAGCCTAAACTAGTTGGATAGAACTAAATCGACTTTAATTGAACTTAATAATTTTAATTAATAGTTTAAAAGTTATAGTTTCGAATACAATCAAAAGAGGAAACTTTAAAAAAAACATTTTGTTAAAAAAAAAGAATCAGTTCTTTTCTTCCGATTGCCAACTCCTTTTGTTTTCTTATTAAGCTACACTTCTTTCAAAAATTACATCGATACAGCTCTGGAAAAGGAAAAGGGGGGAAAAAAACTTCTCCCGAATGCATTGTATGCAGAATGCGACAGTCACTAGTGTCTCAGAAATGCTAATTACTTACACAAGAAGGGAAAGGATTGGAATTTCATTCCTTTTGTACTTTTCTAGAATATTCGTTTCCTCTGCTTTTATTCTAAAAAGAAGGAATTAGGAAAGGAAGAAAAAAAAGAAACTTTTGGATGATACTTTTGCCACCTTCTCCGGCAAATTTTAAAACTTTCCTTTCATTGCAAAAGATAGGCAGCTCTGACTGTGAGTGGATAAAAAAATGGAGAAAAGATTATGATTCCAGCTTTCAGGTACAAAGAGAATTGAGTGAAAATAAAGTTTTATTATTTTTTCTTCGTCTTCTTCTTTTTCTTATCTTGCTCGTCGAAAATTACTTTCTTTTCTTTTATAAGTTGTCTTCTTTTCTTCCTGTTTCTCCTGTTTTCTTCTCTCCCTTTCCCCGAGTTTGCATTTTCTTCATAATTTGCTGCACATTTCAGTATTTTTCTGAAGAACTGATATTTGTTTCGGTAATTGGGTTTTGTGCTGGGACGAGACGAAAGACGCTTCTGGATGTCTTTTCATTTAGAGGAAAAGAAAAGTAACAAATAACGAGAGAAGGTTTTTGTTTCTTTCTGCCTCTTCTTTTTACTTGCCTTTCATTTGAAAATGCGAACTGAATACAAATAATTATAGGAAAAAGTGTGTCTTGTATCAAAGTGCACAGCGAGGCACATTTCATGAGAAATAAAGACTCATTTTCAAGAGTTCGTAAACTTCTTTTATATTTTTCAAATTATATATATTTCTAAAAACCTTACTGAAACTTCACTTTTTAAGGTCTTATTTTAGTTAATGAAAAACTCAAAAATACATGTTTTAAACTCCAAAAATTAGCTGTATTATTCTGAACGAAAAGTATAATAAATGTTACACTGTGAAAAAATATTTAAATATTCTCATTCAAACATAGGCTCATCGAAATTTTGGAATATACTGAACAATAATATCTTTCAAACTTGCATTAGTCTTTCTTGAACTTGATATTGTGTTTCAAGTATTTAATGAAAGCATGGTTCAATTTATCACCTACATTTATCACATTAATTTGTATAATGTTAAGGTAAAAAGCACAGATATTCTGGTGTAAAATTGAACCGGTTGTTTTTAACGAGTAACTGTTTTTCAATTTATGTTCAGTACCTCAATAATTTTCTGAAAACCTAAATTAAACGCAGAATTAAAAAAAATCAATTGAACAATATGCGTACAGTACGTATGGTAATGATATTTCCGATAAAAAAAGTCATAATTCTAGTTAATAAAATCGAAGTACACAGTATTTAAAAAATTTATTTGGTATTTTTTCCATTCATATCTTATCGATTTACCGGAAATTTTGACTTTTAAAATTATAGTTCTTTTTACCACATATTTGGTAAAATGTAAAATAAATTTAACAGAATAAATGGATTTTCTACCATGCTCAAAGGTACTATGATAAATTACGTAATTTTACCACATTTAACAAATTTTATAACATAATTTAAAATCATATTTTATTGCTCATTTTATCAAAATCATTGCCGAAACACTTCTGCAAAAATTACCAAATTTTTCAGTGTTCCCATAGCGCCAGAAACGCTGCATATTCTGGCAGTTTTCAAAAAACTTTTTTTCACTGTGTAATAATATTAGAAATTAATAATTACAGTTATTCTAGAAATTTAAACATTTTTAATTGATATCTTGGTGTCTTTTAATGAAAGCATTATAATTTTCAAGTGATAAGAAATAATTGCGTTACACTTTAATTCAAACTTGTAACAGTTAATTATCATTTTGTTAATTTATCTTGGAGCAAAAAACTTTACAATTTTGAGAGAGATTTAGAAGTTTGCTTAAAGATTTTTTGCATTAAACTACATTACTAACATGTCTAATACTGTAAAAGCTTGATTTGCTTCATAAATTAGAAAGTTTGAGAACATTTCTCTCTTTTATAACTTAAGTTAATGAAATGTTTACATTATCAAATATAACTTGCTTCTTCGATTTCTTGGAATTATTCATTTCATTTCGCATAACTAATAGTTAAATTTATTTTTTATGATTAATGATAACTTATAATTATGTATAATAAGTGACAAAATTAAAATAATACCGAAAAAGATGTTAAAAAAGAAAATTAGAAAACATACTTTTAAAATATTTTCATTATTTACCCGTTCAAAAGCCCAGATAATTCTTTAAGTCAAGATGACATGCATAATTTAACATTATATTTTTGTTTTAAGTGAAAGGCTTAACTGTAAGATTTTATTTAAACTGTGGTATTTAATTTTCCTTGGCGAAAATGCTTCGAATAACCAGGTTAATAAAATAATTTGAAATCCAAAACAATATTTTTCCCATGCTTTCGCGAATAATTAAAAAATATTTGGACAAACATTGTTTTTGGAAAAGATGGACAAGAAACGAACCATATATTGTTCTGATACTCTTCATAGATAATACAAAAGAGAAAAATTTTGATATCAAAATTATTTTTAGAATTTCTATAAGAATATTCTTGGAAAGCAAGCTTCTTAACCATATTAAAATATTTTTGTTTCGCATTGTAAGCCAACCAAAAATTATATTTTATCAGTTCTCATCCGAATCTCACATTCCTTTCTACCTAATTTATTTAAAATTATTTTGCCTTTTTTGATTTTGGTGATCTTCTTAATTTCAAATTATGCAGCTGATTTTAATCTTTATTTGTTCTAGAAAAAAAGCCATAAAAAGTGCTTCATTCTGCTTATCCAGGCGTTACGAACAGAAAAGAGATCTGAAAATTTTTAGAAATTGGCAGTTTTTTTTTATAAGTGTAGGTTTAACCATTTGCAGGTTCTTAGACATTTCTTATTTAGATTCTATCAGTTTTATTTTGGTCTATGGTTTTGAAATATAGACACGATCTAACCCTGCCTACTTGAATAATATTTGAACATACTATCTATTTTGGAGTCATTGCAATTAGAGATTTATAAATGTTTTAAAAATCCAGATGTTCTAAAATTTATAAAGATCAATACATTAAACCGGGCAGTTCAGGTTTATCAAATTAATGATTTAAACCAGGTAAATGATTGGATTGAATGACCAGGTAATGATTTGAAATAGGTAAAAAATATTCATTTTAGGCAAATCCACCAGAACAAACAGACAGACCCTAGTTTTGCGATGGATAAACGAGGCTGAAGAAGATTTCGGAAGAGTTAAGAAATAAAGGACCTGTGTCGCCTAGACGAATGCATGGTAAACTCTTCAAAGAAAAATCTTGATCGACCCTTTGGCTGCCTTGCAAATGATGAGGAATTTCAATTTTACTCAATTGAAAGAATTGTGGTTATAATCAAATGCGTGATTACTTCTGGAGAAGAAAAAGGGATTACTTACCACCGTCGTCCCTTTTTCTTTTATGCGTTACATTATGATCTTGGTTGTGCTGCGGTGCAGCGGCGGAAGGATTCGGGATGCCCAGGATTCCATTGATGGAGTAGGAAGGACGATGGAGCTGGGGCTGCCCCTCATGGGCGGGGGGAGCGTGTGCTATGACGGAAGTAGTATTGGAAGAAGGCTGGGGACTGTGACCCCCGTTCATATGGCCAGAGGCACCAACTTGTTTCGCTTTTTCGGCTGCTTTATTCCTTACGATCCTATGGAAGAAGACAAAAGTGAATGAGTTCACAGTATAAAAATTGAACAATTCAAACCTACTGATTATCAACCAGAGAGACTAATTCAACTTTGATTTTCAAGAAAAGGTTGCTTTTTGTGGGTGCAATTGTATAGGCATAATTTGTCCCTATGCGCTCAATTCGTACATTGTTTTTTAAGGGTACAAGTTCTTCAAAATGTAAAAAATTATAAGAAATAGATCAACTAATTCGATGAATGAACTTGTATTTTTTATAGTATTTCATTTTCTGTTTATTTTTTAAGGATTGTATTAAGCGTATGTTTTAATTTAAAAAATGGTTAACATGATATGATGATATATGTTTTTTGCCACGAAACTAAACAGGAATGCTTTTTTCTCTCCTGATGTTCCGAATTTTGGGGTTACTATCTTTCAAAACAATTAAAGCTAAACAATTGATCCTTATTTACATTTTATAATACAATAAATAAATAAATAAGTAAATATAATGAATTAAATTAAAAAGAAATAAATATAATGAATTAAATTAAAAAGAAATAAATATAATAAATTAAATTGAAAAGAAATAAATATAATGAATAAACGAATAATTCATTCAGAGAAACAAATAATGAAAAACAAATAATGTGTTCAAATTAGAAACAAATAAACTTGAAACTAGTAGCTTAATTTTTCGAACAAAAAATCAAAATAAATTAATAAAATAAATTGTAACAATTGAATAAAATGAAATTAAGGAAATAAAAATAAATGTCAAATACAAATAAGGAATAAATTTAAATAAATAAAAACTAGCAGCTTAATTTTTCGAACAAAAAATCAAAATAAATTAATAAAATAAAATGTTACAATTGAATAAAATGAAATTAAGGAAATAAAAATAAATGTCAAATACAAATAAGGAATAAATTTAAATAAATAAAAACTAGCAGCTTAATTTTTCGAACAAAAAATCAAAATAAATTAATAAAATAAAATGTAACAATTGAATAAAATGAAATTAAGGAAATAAAAATAAATGTCAAATACAAATAAGGAATAAATTTAAGTAAATAAAAACTATCAGCTTAATTTTTTTGACGAAATATCAAAATAAATAAATTAATATAAATAAAATAAATTAATAAAATAAAATATAACAATTAAATAAAAGGAAATTAATGAAATAAAAATAAATGTTAAATAAAAATAAGATATAAATTTAAGTAAATAAAAACTAAAAGAATAAATAAATAAATATGAAAAAAATCGATGAAAAAATAACAATATCTGAGCATTTGTAATTTGTGTTTAGCAGATTAGGCCTTTTTTAAAATTCAAAGGCAATCGATTAAACACTAATAAACCCTTTTTTTAATAAACTACATTTTGTTTCCAAAACAAATTAAATATTTTTAATGTTCACTTAGAAATTAGACATTCCATAAACTAAAACTGATCGAATGTATGTTTGAAGCATTCCAAACGAACATTAAATCTATATCTTTTCAAATTGAAACTGATGTACTGAAAAGTATTATTTTTCTATAGGATGTGACATCATGATAGGTCACGTGCTCTCCCACGCCCAATAAACAAGTGAGCAACAATAGAGCTGTGATGACATTATATCCCACTCCAACTACTAAGTGCTTTCCCTCTTTATTGGGGAGAGAGAATCCCTCTGCTTATTTTCTCCCCTTTTATTCGCCTTTTCTCTAACTAAATTATTTTTATAGACTTGTGTTGCGTATTTATTTGGAAGATAATCGGCATTACTCACAGTTCCTTATTCAATGAACACAATATAATTAAGAGAATATTATTTTGTTCTCCTATCGAATTTTTTTTCTTCTTCTTCATATTAGACAAACAATGGTTATGTAATCAACACAAAAATAAAATAACTCTTTTTTTTGTTACGCCTGTTGTCTTATAGTAAATATTAGCATTTAGTTTAAAGTACACTGAGGCTAATTATACTTCATTACAGTATTTGAAAATCTTAGCGATAAAAGCATAAACCATTAAAAAACGTAAAGTCAAAAACATTTTTAATGAAATGAAATTAATTTATTTATATAGAGAAATTTCAGAAACCGTTCAGAAAACAATGGTAGAAATGCAATACTTAAGTTAGACTTAAATTCAAGAAAAGACGATGAAAACTCAGAAATTTAATCATCATTTAATTCCGCCAATAAATAAAAATCGGATGGATAAAAATCGATACGAAGCTTAAAATTAATTTCATGAATTGAATGAAAAATTCCTGAAATATATCAGACTGATATTCGTTGTTTATGCTCGTCATTAAATACTGATAAATATCTATAAATAAATTAAAAATCAATAATTTAAAAAAAGAATCCCTGAAAAGCATTGGATTACTATACGCCGCCATTATTTAAAAATAGATCGATATATTCTGTATTCATAGATTCTTGATTCATACTTTTAAAATTAATTCAAGAATGGAAAAAATAAATTCCTGAATTCAGATGGATCAATGTTATTCATTTAATATTTTCAAAATTGGTGAAAGTATATTATCCTTTATTGAATGTTGATAGAAATCAATTAGTAAGTTTAAAAATATGATTTCAAGAATTAAAAAGAAGAATACTCAAACACATATTAATTAGTGATAAAATTCCATTATTTAGTAAATTAAAATAAAATAGTTCAGCATCGAAAAATATTTGGATCAATCGCATGAAATCTGTACAATTTTCATTCTAAAATTACGGTAAGATAACCTACTGCAGTATTTCCATACAATTAACCGTAAAGTTAACGGTAAAGAACATTTTTTATTTTTATGGTTCAGAAACCATTCACAAATTAGGGAGTGCAGGACATTGGAAACTCTTCATGAGTTGAAGGGAACGGGTGCAAGGGAATTGTGGTACCAACGCTAGGGCTCGAACCTCCGTTCTATTGATAATCAGATTGACACATCGCTCGGCTATGCTATGAAGCCAGATGCAAAGAGCTAAGTAGCTTCATTAGGTGGTCCTAATTGGTGCGATAAAATAACGGTTGTTTCACCGTTTTAGGTGAAAGTAGTTAATAAATGATTTTTCTCACGGTCAATAGTTTGAGTACCATCTTATTTATGGTTTTTTGACTATCTGTTTTGTCTGAAAATGGTAAAATAACTATTACATAAATTGTTAATTAACCCTTTTTTCAAGAAATCTCTAACAGTATAAAATGATTAGTATTCATCACTCAATTCAACATTCTTCTTTTAACAATAAGTATAATAATTTTAACGGTTGTATTACGATATTAAATTCGATGCATTTTTCTTTAAATTTTATGTTTTTTGAAATAGCTAGAATGACTTCAATATTGGAATACATAAAGCTTTAATGCGATTTCCTCAAAAAAGCAATTTATATAATCACAGTCATATTTCAATTTTCGCACTCTCACCTCCCAGCTTATTTTTAAATTTAACTTTTTCTTCACAATTTTTGTCTGCGTTATTTCAATCAAAGTTCTTTTGTATGGAGAGAAAAACAACAATCAGAATTCGATTTTAAATTGAGTTTTGATTGAATTTCGTTACTATCCTTTTTAGATTATATTTTGAAATAGAATAGAAAACTAAAAAAAAAAAAGAAGCAGTTTTGTAAAAGTATCTTTCTTTGTAGTTATCTTTAATAGCTCTTTTTTTTGCAAATGAAATGGGCTCAGTTTTTTTTTATTGAAATACTTTAAACTTTTCTGGATTTTCTGTATACTATCTTAAAAGTCCAAAATCTTTCAACAAATAAAAATTCATATTTTAAAGTAACCATCACCGCAAATCTTTTGAAAAAAGCATCCTCTTATTTGAAATAATTTTTTTTGTTTCTTCTTCACTTTCATAAAAATTAGTTCACTGTGAAACAATAATATCAGTACTTCAATCTATAGTAAGGTGCAAATTTGCTTTATTATTGCTGTATTTTTGCCATATTTCCTTTCAAAATGAACCATAGAATCACGCATTTAACATAAAAAAAATATGAAAATATGAGTTTCATCCCGCTTTTAAACATAATATTGAGTCATCATTTGATTATCTTATTCATTTAAGCATCATAATAAGGTAACAGAAAAATTGGACGACATTATGGTACAAAACGCTAGAAAATTTCCAAAAGTGTATTAATATGGACTTTCATTTGTTGTGTCGAGCCTTTTAGCAGAGCAGTTATCATAGAAAATAAAAAACCCTTTATCATGTTAAGCAATTATGCAATTTAGCATTTTAACTGTTATTATATCAAGATATTTTATTATCTGTTTACGTTTTCTATGATGTATGACTATGTATGACTATTTCAACTCTGTTATTATCTGTTTCACTGAAAATGTTCAAGTGCGTGTCAAAGTGTAAATTTTTATTTTATATTTGTTGTAACAATTTCAACTTTGAATTTAAACAATTTCAACTGTTATCTTTCACAGTAACGGATTGATCGAGTGCGTGTTAAAGAGAAATTTTTTATTTTTATTTCAATTCTACTATATTCTGTTTAAATGAAATGGATCAAATAAATGTCAGAATAATATTTTTATTATATTGTTTTAATTATTTCAACTTTGTTGTTTCACTGAAACTGATCAAGTGCGCACCAAAGAGTAAATTTTTAACTTATGTTGTTTTAAACTATTTCAAATCTGTGATATTCTGTCTGACTAAAAGTACGTGTCAAATAGTAAATTTTCATTTTATATTCTCTTAAACTATTTCAACTCTACTATATTCTGTTTAACTGATACGGATTGAAGGCGTGCCAGAATAAATTTTTATTTCATATTGTTTTAAATTATTTCAACTCTGTATATTCTGTTTCACTGAAACGCATGAAGTGCGTGTCAAAGAGTAAATTTTTATTTTATGTTCTTTTAAACTATTTCAAATCTGCGATATTCTGTTGGACTGAAAGTGCGTGTCAGAGAGTAAATTTTTATTTTATATCCCAATAAAATCTTCCCGATTTTTTTTTTTATCTTGGC